AGTGTTTTGGGTTGAGTCTTTAGGATTTTCTCCGTATAAAATCATGTCATCTGCAAATAGAGACAATTTTACTTCTTTTTCAGTTATGTTGTATTTCCTTTTCTTGCCTGATTGCTCTGGCTAGGACTTACCAGTACTGTGTTGAATAGGAGAGGTGAGAGTGGGCACGCTTGGCTTGTGCCTCATCTGATGGCAAAAGCTCAGCCTTTTCACCATTGAGTATGACATTAGCTGTGGGAAGGTTTTTTCTTTTTTTTTTTTTTAAAGATTTTTTATTTATTTGAGAGAGAGAGAATGAGAGAGAGCACGAGAGGGAAGAGGGTCAGAGGGAGAAGCAGACTCCCTGCCGAGCAGGGAGCCCGATGTGGGACTCGATCCCGGGACTCCAGGATCATGACCTGAGCCGAAGGCAAGTCGCTCAACCAACTGAGCCACCCAGGCGCCCCAGTTTTTTCTTTTTTTTTAAACACTTTGTTTTCCCCTGAATATTATTTTAAGTCTGTTATATTTAATAAGTCATTCCTATTTAAAGTCATATTTGACTTGATAGTTTCAGAAATAATTTAAAAAACAGTCTTTCATTCAAATCTGTAGCTCATTTTGTGTAAGATTGGGGTACTTCTATCCCTTGCCTTGCATTTGGTTCTTTTGTCTGGATTTATTATGAACCATTTTAAATGTTGAAAAGACTGATACTTACATAATGAACAATTGTGAACTCACCACTCACCTTCAGTCACAAAACATCATCAATATCATTATGCTCTGATCACATCTGCCTACCTCAACTCTAGAGGTAAGTAAAGTTGTGAATTTGGTGTTTACTTTTTTAGAGGTTTGATTTTCATACTAATTTTTTTTTGGAAATTACACAAGTAGTTCATCCTATCCATTAGTATACTTCAAATAACTCATCCAACAGAATAAACCACTGTTAACAGTTTGGTGATTAAAATGTATCTATGCTTGGGGCCTGGGTGGCTCATTTGGTTTTCCACTCAGGTCATGATCCCAGGGTCCTGGGATCGAGCCCCGTGTTCAGCGGGGAGCCTGCTTCTCCCTCTCCCTCTGCCTGCGGCTTCCCCTGCTTGTGCTCTCTCTCTCTCTGTCAAATAAATGAAATCTTTAAAAAAAATAAAATGTATCTATGCACATAGATAGGTGTTGATAGAAACATGGTTGTGTTTTTTTCCTTAAAAGGTGTTGTTACATTGTTAGATTTCTAGAGGTCGCTTTCCTACACAAACACAAGTACAAGGCTGCACAAGAAGGCATATACAAGGTTATTTATAGTTTGTTGGTTACAGTGAGCAATTTGGAAATCTAAATATTCTAGTCAAATATAGAAATACGGAAGTATATCAAGGATATTTGTAGTTTATTGGTTAAGAGAACCATTCAAGAATATCCTCAGTATCTCACGAATAGGGGACAGATTAAATTAAAATGTAGTGTATCCATATTAGGAGGCAGTTAAAGGGAGTGAGGTATCCTACTTATATACATACCTGGATGTGGGTGCTGGCATGGGACATTCCCATCACATCTACAGCGATTACTGCTTTTCAGCACAAAATGCTCACAGGATTTCCAGTTGCCTGAACTGTTCTGGTTATCTTCAGGAGACTAATGCTGCTTTTTGTGGCATTCTGTTCTTTAGGTTGAGAGTTGGATATTTTCTGTCTTGTTGGAATGTTCTGTATTTCATGGAACATCCTATGGTCTTGTGACAGTTTCAGTTGGTGGTGACTGCCAATATGTGATTCTAGCCTTAATCTCTTGTCTGGAGATAATATGCATTATAGTAATTAAAAAACTAAACCATTCATTTTAAAAGGGTTTCAAAAAGATTGCTTATTCTGGCGAAGTCAGGGAGTCCCCCTGTCCGTTCTCTAGCATACCAGGCACAGGGAACATCAAAGAAGACAGTTTAGCTCTCAAGTCTGTTGGGGAGGTTGACAAGTGACCAAGTTACTTGCATAGGATGGGACACAAGGGAGGCAAAGAGGCATAGTTGTGAACAGCTGGGGCTCTGGAGCCCGTCCCCCGGCTGGGATGTGTGTCATTGCTAAAAGTGGGGAGAGCCAGTGGAGCGTGGTGGTTGACTCTCAGACGGAAATGAGGCTGTCCGTTTGAGTTCCCAGTGGCAGTAACGCTGTGGCACAGTATTATGGAAGTACTTAATAGGCACTGAGTTTAGGATTGGAGAGGGCACAAAGAATGTTTTCCTAGAGAAGGTGTAATACCCGAGGCTTCAAGAATTGGAGAGGTAGCTGTCACCAGCGGAGATTGGAGGTGAGCAATACTCGGGCTTCCTGTGTGCCCTACGAGTGGTTCAGTAAGGCTGGAGCAGTGGGGGTGAGGGGAAGGAAGGCTGAAGCACTGAGTCTTGAGAACTTGTGGAGGGAGGTGTCACGGGGCACCGAGATTGGATATTCCCAGTGACCAGACGCAGGGTGGCTGGGGGCGAGGTGGGCAGCCAGCTCCTAATCCTCCAGGCCTCTCTAAGCACTCAGTTGCTTTGGCTATGTAAACTGCAGCCTCCAGGTACATTCCTAACACCCTTTCAAGTGGAAAGGGGTTTCTTTCTAAACTCCTCTTGAGGAAGTTCTGGAGCTGCCTCTGTACCTTTAAAACTCTCTGTGATTGAATGGTGGAGGCAAAGGTAATAAATTCCAACTATTGCCATAAATTGTGTGGTACTGATTCACTAATGAGCGCTAGCTGGGAAGAACTTTGTGTTAGAAGGGGAACCTGAGCTTAGATGTGAAATTCTGAAAATCCTAATGTTTGGGTAAAGCCTTGTCATTTATAGGGTCCTGCTGTCCTGCCTGATGTTTGGTGCTCTCATGACCTTGCCAAGGATGGCTCGGCTGTGAGGGAGGAGCTAGGACTGGGACCTGAGCCGTGGATGCTGGGGCCTGCACTTTGCACTACACTGTCCAGCCTTCCTCTTTCTTTTCTTTGCCTTGTGACTACCTTATGCTTGGTCACGGGGGGAGAATAAGTGACTTAAGATGCCTTAGTCAGCTGGATTAGTCAGCTTTTACTGTCCAAAGGGCCAGGGAGTCCGTATAATGAGGCCTTGGAAGTGTTGAGTCACCTGTTACAGGGATGCTTGACTGGTTTTGGACATTGTATAACAGGGAAAAGGTTTATTTTCTGAGTCGCTAAGGTTTTGAACCTTGTGGTAAAATAGAATATGGGCATTAGAGCCAGCCTTGGGGGTTGGGATCCCTGCTGTCTCAGGTTTCTCATCCTTTTTTTTTTTTTTTTTAAGATTTATTTATTTTTACTTAGCGTGCATGCTCGTGTGCAGGTGCACAAGCAGGGGGAGTGGCAGGCAGGGGGACCCGTTTGAGCAGGGAGCCCGGTGCGGAACTTGATCTCAGGACCATGGATCATGACTTGAGCAGAAGGCAGACGCTTAACTGACTGAGCTACCCAAGCGTCCCTCCATTTTCTCATCCTTCACATGGGGATAATAATTCCTAATAGGGTTGTTCTGGGTAATAAGCAAGATAATACATACAAAGTCCTTCGAGTAATGCTGGGTACCTATTAGATGATTAGGCAATTAATACGTGGTTTTTCCCTTCTTTCCCCTTCCCCAGGCCAGGCTCCCCTGCCCACCTGCCGACATCCCCCACCCTGCCGATCTCATTGATTCCTTCCTCATCTTAACTAAAAGGCCCCTGTGCTGTAATGTGCTTACTGTGGATCACATGGGATTTGGGGGATCAATCCCAGTTCCCAGTGTACTGCCCTATCCATCTGTGGACATGTCTGTCAAGTGATAGGCCCTCATTGCTAGCTGGGAAGATACAGTGGTGGTAAATTCTAAGCGTCCCTTCTTTACCCTCTTGGGCTTCATGCCATGTGTATTTTCTCTCTTGCGTGCTAAACTCATGGCCCCTTCTGTTAAGTTACCGTTAACCCTGGGGTCTGGGTTGCTACTTGCCTCCCCTCCTGTGCTCCAACTCTAAGCAGAAGAGTTGAATGAACTGCCCAGGTCTTTTTCTGGAGTCCATCCAGTTTAGGTCTTTCCCTTTAAAGTAACTTCACTGCTACCAATGTGCCCCTGAATTGGTTTTTACTATACGGGGAGGGCATATTGCCTACTTGGCTCCCAGGATTGATAACCCTGTCTTCCCATAGCCTTCTGGCGTTTGTGGCTTCTGCTGTCATCTGCCTACTTGGTTGCTCTTTCCTGAGGGGTGTTTGGAATGAGGAAGGGGTGGGATGTGTGGTAGCCGATAATGGTCTTTTTTGGATTAGGCGTTCACATCAGACTGAGAATGCTCTTTTTATTTTTTTCTGTTAAGTCCACCAGGGCCAGAACACATTGCTAGAGAATGCAAGGCAGGACCTCTGGTTGGGGTGAATGTGTATTTGTTTTCATACCACTTTCCAGATGAGTCTGATTTGCACCTATTGTTGAGAACTAGTGATTGGATAATTACAACCAGATTGCATTCTTACTCTTTGGGTAACTTTGCCTTGGTTTTGTTTTGTTCTGTGTTGGGTTTTTCCTTTGAGTGTGTGTGTATGGGGGTCTGTCTTGAGGAGGGAGAGACTGATACTGAACAAATAGACTTAGTGGATCCAGACTAGTTGACCTGGTTTCACATTCTGCCTGTGTCATCTTGGGAGACTTGCTTAATTATTTCTGAGCTTTAGTTTTTCCTCATCTGAGTGAAGGAGAAAATAATATCCCTCTTTGGAGTTTTATAAAAGAGCTAACCTATACAAATTACGTGGTATATGGCATGATCTAAGCACTCAGGAAATGATAGCTACTAGGGGTATTGGGAATGATAATAATGACATTTGCAATATGAGAATATAAATCTGAATTTGAAGATTTTGATTTTGTATTACCAGAATTATTCTCTGCTATCATTTTACCACTTTTTAAAATACAGATTTATGTGAAATTTTTTAAAAACAGATTTATGTGGCAGTTCTTAAATTTAAAATTTTTTTTTTTTTTAATTAAGTCACTCAGCATCTGAAGAAGCTTCCGGTTCAGACTCAGGCAGCCAGTCCGAGAGTGAGCAGGGCAGCGATCCAGGAAGTGGACATGGCAGTGAGTCAAATAGCAGTTCTGAGTCTTCAGAGAGCCAGTCGGAATCTGAAAGTGAGTCGGCGGGTTCCAAATCCCAGCCAGTCCTTCCAGAAGCTAAAGAAAAGCCAGCCTCTAAGAAGGAACGGATAGCTGATGTGAAGAAGGTATCTACCTTTGCTATACAGTGAAAATGTGCTGCTAGCTAGGACAAACTAGCAGACCTTTGTTTCCCATGGAAAACTCATTAGTGGATCTGGATAATGAAAACTATAGCTACCTTTTGTAATAATCTACTGCCTATGGATATAAACAGGGACTGCTTTCTCTTCTGCTTTTTGATATAGTAGACATAGGTCCATAAGGAAAATAATTACATGAACCATCAAATTACAAGGCAAAAAGGCAAATTTTTATTATTTTCTTCTTCTTTTTTTTTTAGAGCAAGTGAGTGGCAGTGGGGAAGGGCAAAGGGAGAGGGAGAGAGAGAATCTTAAGCAGGCTCCATGCCCAGCATGGAACCCGACACTGAGCTCAGTCTCACAACCCTGAGATCATGACCTGAGCTGAGATCAAGAGTTGGATGCTTAACCAACTGAGCCACCTAGGCACCCCTATAGTTTCGGTTTTTAACATTTTAGTAGTCAATACTGAACAGTACCAGAGAGAATTACTGACAGATGATTATGGAATGCAGTTGTAAAGCTTAGTGATGGATGATAACAATTCAAGAATAAGGGCAGTTTTTCTTATCTGAAGGATGGAAGAGAAATACTTCTCATAGGAAAAGTATCTGCATCTAGGCAGTGTAGGTATGGTTCACTTAACAGAGGAGAGTCTTCTAGCAAAGAATGCAAAAAGGCAAAAATTCAAGTGCATAGTGTGCTCTCTTTGATGCACAAACTTTGGAGTGCATTCCTTTTGGGGAAAAATTAATGACTTGGCCTAATTACAAGAATGCAGCTGATCTTTTAAAAATTCCGTTTTGAGACAATTGTGTTTCAGTCACTGAAAATAGAAAAGAATATTCTTTTAGAAATTTAAAGATAAAATGCCCTAATGAAATTAAAAGCTTTATGCTAAATCCGTTTTTATTTTCTAAGATAGAAATCTTCATCTAAGCCCTGAGATTTTTGTAGTAGTATAATTTTAAATTACCTGCAGGTTCTGCGGAATAGCTTCAACAGATGCTTCAACAGATGTGCTGTGAGGGATAGGAAAATGAAAGCTGTCCTTGCTACTTTAGTCAACAGGGGAGTGACTTTCAGACACTCACGTACTGTACCTTGTTCCCTGCTCATTGTGTTTGTGGATCTTTCATAAGAAGGAATTCGAGAAGACCCTGCGTGTAGAAGCTCCTCTTAGAGATTTTGCTCTGAGTATCACTGAACTCAGAAACTTACTACCCAGGCTTGTAGCAGAAGGCTTTGCTTGGCAGTCCTCAGAGTGTAAATGTCAGAGCCTGGTTTCCTCTGCATCTGGATCGGGTGCTCTTTTCAGAACACCACCACACACTTTTGAAGGAAGTATAGTGGGTGGAAAAAGTGTGGCTATAACTTTCATCTGTGCAGTGAAGAGCTCTTTACTTGCAGAGATGAAAGGAAACCATAGAAACCATTACTTAACATAGTGTCTAAAACTTCACTGAAATTGTGTCGATCAGGATTCACAGCGGTTAAGTTTTAAGACCTTGTATATTTGATCCTATATAAAAAAAAGGGAACAAAGAAGGGAAATCATTACTAAGACTGAATTTCAAAATAGAAGTACAGCTTCAGGCAGAAATATTAAAATATACTTTCAAAGTTAAGGCAGTCAATTGCAAGAAGTTAAATAATAAGGTTAACTCGTGGATGGGTGTACTAACCAGTTAGAATGATTGGATTGTGACTTTAATGATACTATTCTAAAATGAGAACTTCTGCGGAAGACTCTTTGTTTTCTGTATACACATCCCTTTACATGGTAGCTTTTTTACTGAAGGGTTGAATTAGATATTGTAGCCCTCAAGAGGACAGAGATGAACTCAGGATGATGTTAATATGTATACATTACAGTATATCCTGTAATACAGTCCCAGCAGTTGAGCTTGGATGCCTAATATTTTAAAACGATAAAACTAATTTGTGGTCTTTTAAAGGATTTAGTCATCCCAGTTTATAAAAAGCTCCTTAAATACCTGTGCTGAGTAAAGAAATTTCATAGCTCTAGCAGAAGTCCAAAAAGGGGTCAGGGTCGAGGTCGGGGTTGGCATGACTAGAGTAAACCTTTTTGTCCCCCTTCCTTTCTCTTCTAGATTTGTTCAGTGTTCTGCTGCCTCTGTCACCTAGATTTCCTGCTACTTGGTTATTCCTAACTCTTTCTGGTTGGACTTTTTGTCCTCTCGACTCTGAGATTATTTTAAGGCCATTATGGATTTGTCACCTTTATAAACTGAGAACACTGGATTATGTGATTAAATTGGATTCTTGTTCTAAAATGCCTTTTCCTGGAGCATTTTGCTTGTTTTCTTTGGAGGCCTTGGTTTTCTTCAGCTTACTTGACTTTTTTTTTTTTTTTTTTTTGAGGCACCTTGGTAATATCCTCCCTTGCCTTAGTGACATTCTGTTTTTCTAAGTTGTCTTTCACCGATTTTGTCTTTTTTGGGGTCCACTTTCCACACACTTCATGAGTCTCAGCCAGTGGCTTCTCGTACGGCCTCACTTTCTAAATATTTTCATGACATTTGCTGTCACCTGTATTTTGAAAACAAACCCACATTTCTAATCTTGGCTCTCAGGCATTTCTTCTACATGTTTATTAACTTCTTCATTTCAGTGTTCCACAATCTGTCCAAATTCATTTTGCCTCTGTGTGACTGATTTTATTAAAAGAACACATGATACACTTGGTGGTAGTTACCTGTGGGAAGGAGAGTGAGATTGGGGGTTATAGACTCTCATTGTTAGAGGTTGGCGGGGCCTTTTACATTTTTTCTGTAGATTTGTTGATTTGAGTCTTTCTATAAGATGATGTTGGTATATTGTCAAAAATAGCCCTTTCTCTTCAACTAAACTCCTTTCTTCTTTCTCTCTCTTTCGTTCGTTCGTTCTTCCTTTCTTTCTTCCTTTCTTTCTTTCTGGTGCAAAAAGATGGTTTTAGGAAAGTACGGGAGTAGGACCCATGGGCAGAAAGAGCTGCCTACTTATTTAAAGATTTTATTTAAGTAATCTGTATAAGCAACATAGAGCTTGAACTTAGAACCCTGAGATCAAGAGTTGCATGTGAATGAGCCAGCCAGGTGTCCCTACTTTTTTTTTTTTTTGGATCACTAGTGAGGATTGTTACTAAAAATCAAGTCCCAAAAATCAAGCAAAGGGTAACTACTGTTGGAAAATAACATGGAATGTTTCAGAGAAAGAATGGCAGTGGTGCTCATTCTGGGAACTTCTAGCTAATGTGTGCTTCTGGCATGTTATGCATCCTGAGGAATTTAAAGAAATAGACAAATGTCCTGATTCTTATTTAATTAGACATGTTGGGGCCCTGCTTGTTTTTTGAGTTCCCAGATGGGTCAGTGTGCACTCACAGCTGAAACTGGAAAGCATTAGGGACTTAAAATTCATCAGTAAAGACTTTGTCTTTAGTGGAAGCCTTACCGTGTTACTTAACTGTAAGTTTATATTTTAATGACGAGTAATCAGTGTGGCATGTAGTTTTAAGAGTCATTCAGTAAAGTAGAGGCGTTGTTAAACTTCACTGTGTTCCAGGGTAATACAAATGGTACTTTATTATCTCTAAACAAAGTTAACACAAAACAACCCTTTTGATATTTAGTTACTTGAATTTTCTTAGGTGGAGATACATGTTCCAGTAACGAAAATAGTAAATGGGGGGTTGGAGGGTCAAGAGAAAAGGATTCACACATGGTCTGTTTGTTTACAGATGTGGGAAGAATATCCTGATGTTTATGGGGTTAGGCGGTCAAACCGAAGCAGACAAGAACCGTCACGATTTAATATTAAGGAGGAGGTAAGAAGAAGAAATGCTTTAAGGGGATACATTTAAACTCCTTGCCTTACCTCATGCTTTTCGACTCTGGTGTGTATGTTCCCAGTAGCATGACTGAGCTTTATGTCTGAGAGTTAAGTGACTCTAACGCGGGCTTTCTCAACCTAGAACCACAAGGAAAACCACAGGTGGCTTTTAAAGAAATTTACCAGGAAGATTGTGTCATAATGAATGTTTTAGTAGAGTGTTAGAGTATTATACAGAATTGGCCTCACATTTTTATTTTCATTTTTTTTTAATGTTTCTGGATTTCAAGTGAAATTGATTATTGCAAGACTTTTACCTTTTAAAATACCTAGTTTCTAAATCTAGATTTTGTCAAATGAGTCACTTGCTTGGTAAATTTAATAGTGGACGTAGTTTCAGATTTATTTTCTGAGAAAGGAAGGAGAGTTTGTTTAACTTAAGTAATGTGTTTTAACTAATTTAAATTTGCTTTCCGTTTTTAGTGTGCAGTATAAAATACTTCACACGTATTTACTCTGATCTAATTGTGAGAGATTGAACAGATTGGTGATTTTTAAAAATTGGTATTATGTACTGGGTTCTGTTGTTTCTATAGCATCAGACTTTTCTCACCTTTCTCAGTTCGTTTGGTATTTTTGTCAATTCTTACCTCTATATTAGGTTTATAGACTGCATTCTGAAGAGATGCTCTTTTGTGTCTCAGTGAAATGCCCTTCCTGCATTCTTAGGAGGACTTTGCTGTTCTTAACTATGTAACATCTTTTTGAACAAAGTTAAATATTAATATCTAGAGGTTAGTGAGTTGGGGGTGGGATTTTGGTAAATGTACTATACAGATCTAATTGACTGTAATGTCCATATTGCCTTCATGGTGTTCTCTTTTGAATGACCTCTGAGCTGGTTTACCTTAGCTTTCTTTTTCCTTGATGTCTAGGACTAGGTTCCGGAGCCATGTTGGTTACAACCAGTCCCATAGTTGTGTCACTCTTTTCCTCTTTTGTATATAAATTAACATATTCTTGGTAGGGCACAGGACTAATAGCAATAGGAATATTTGCCAATTTGCCTAACTTTGGGGGAAAAGAGCTGTTCAGATGTTTTTGACCATAAACTTCCCTTGGCCTAGTGCTATCAGCAGAGAGCACTGTTGGCTCGTGATTGAACGTGCTCTTTAATGAGTCTAAAATGGAATAGATCAGTAGGTCACCACCTTTAATGGCACACTAAATGTTGTGGCATTTTCACATGATTTTCTAGATCTGCAGTATCCATTATGGTTGCCACTAACATGTAGCTTTTAAAATTCGTATTAAAGTCCAGTTAAAGGAAAGATTTATTCCTTAGTCGCACTAGGCACATTTCAGGGGCTCAGCAGTCCCACGTGGCTGCTGGCTACTAGACTGGATCCTGCAGATACAGAACATTTCTGTCATCACAGAGAATTTTATTGGACCGCGCCCTTGTAGAAGTCAAGCCGAGAGAAATACTTCCTGGTGTTAGAGGTAACCCCATTATAATAAACGAATTAATTTTCAAAGGAAAAGAAGAGTGAGCACCACCAAACACAGGTTTCTTTTGTCTGAAAGCTCATATTGAATAATGTTATTATGGAGCAGATTGTTGAACCAGGGGGTCGTGTCGTCCCTAAGAACTGTGAATTAAAGTCTGTGATCATTTCTCCCCCCCACACACTGAAGGCAAGTAGCGGGTCTGAGAGTGGGAGCCCAAAAAGAAGAGGCCAGAGGCAGCTGAAGAAACAGTAAGTCTTTCATGGGGCACGTACTTCACCCAGGGTTTTTGAGCACATCCACTTCTGTGGCACTGCCTTCGCTGTGCGGTAGTCCACCCCGGGTCCCAGAGTCTGTTGCCCCTCTTGCTGTCGTGGGCCACTGTCCACTGTGCCCCGCTACTTCGGCAGCCCTTGAAGCTCAGAGACCCCGTCTTGTATGTGTCCCACATGGGCTGGGCTATAGCTTGTCCCACCTGGTTAGCCCATTAGCCCAGTTGTGGTTTTCTTTAAAATGTGCACAGATTCTGTTCTGGTTGAACAAGGAACAAATGTAGATTGGCTTTTTTTTCCTTTTCATGTGTTCTTTATGTGGGTGTGGCAAAATTATATTGGCTGGACTGGACACCCAATGTAGTATGAAATTTCACACTGTTGTTACTGTATAATTTTAATACTGCAGTTCACAAGCCAGAAAATTTTAATTCTTGGGCTTATGTGAAATTCCTTTAGGACATAGATTATATATTCATTATATTTAAAATTTACAAATTCTACTTACGCTGAAAAAATATTTATTTATTATTTATTTATTTATTTATTTATTTTAGAATTTAAAAATCATCCTTGGGAGGGGGTCTGGATCTCTTTGACAATCTGTATTCTACAGCCCATCTCCTTGGGGCTGCATTTGAAAATGCAGATATTGAAAACCTGGCAGACAAATTCAGGGGTTTCTCATGGTTAAATAGTTGTCCATGGTGCCTATTAAAATAGAACCCCAGTTTATTCTCTGTTCTAAAATATTAGTATCTCTTAATAAGTATTTGGCCTAAGGCAAAGGAGTTAGAATTATTTAAACTTGTTTTCTCATTTCCAAAACTCTAACAAGGTTGCTGGAAACTGTGCTAGGAAAAGTTAAGGTATTTAGTATTGCCTTCCCCAGAGCGCATCTAATTTTCATTTGTGTTTTAAATATTTAGAGTTGGAGGAAAAACTGTAGGCAAGCCTTCTGTACTTCTTGGCATCTTAGAAGGCTTTTGTTCTACTCCAGTCCTGTGGCCTGCTTGGGAAGCTATTCTGGGTCTAATGGCCTTTTGGGGGCCTTTGGGAAGTCCATGCACGTGGTCTTTTCTCCACCATTTAGCTATGTTCTGCTGGTCTCTTGACTGGGATCTAAATGGTGCTGTGCTTGAAAACACTGTGCAGAAGCCCACTGGCCCCTGTAGTTATTTCGTTCTGTCAATCCTGAGAGTTCTCTAAAGTTGACAGCCCTCAGAGGCCTTCCTTCTGCTGAGTAGAACTAAGGTTCCTTGTAGGCGGGTGTATCTTCTGTAAGGCTGCTTCCCCGCCCCAGGCTCTTCCTTAGGAACTTTTGAGAGCTCCGGAGTTCCCCATCATGCTTGTTTGTTTGGGGGCACTGGGCTAGCCTCACTTCCTGCCATCCTTTGGGCAGCAGGTGAGTACTGGGGCTTATGGAGAGCTCTTCTCTTGAGTCAGTTTAATTAGTAGGATTAATTGGAGGAGGTGCTACAGCTGTTAAGACTCAAATTGGAAGGCACAGCACTAAAGGGGGCCCTCTGTGATCTGAGCAAGCTTAACAGAACCTAGTGTGTGGGCACATGGATTTCAGAATTGAGAGACTCAGAGAGTGGAAATTTTGAAATCTTAGCACAGGGAAATGCTTTTCTGAAACCCTTCAGACTGTACCACAGATTTTGAAGTTTTTTAAAAGGAGCTATTTTTACTAACTTTTCTTTTTAATTCAAACTTAAAAAAAGTTATAATAAAAATAGTACAAGGAATGCCTGTGTACTTTACCCAGATTTGCCATTGGTTACTACTTTTTTTTTTAAAGATTTATTTATTTATTTATTTGACAGAGACACAGTGAGAGAGGGAACACAAGCCGGGGGAGTGGGAGAGGGAGAAGCAGGCTTCCCGTGGAGCAGGGAGCCTGATGTGGGGCTCGATCCCAGGACCTTGGGATCATGACCTGAGCCGAAGGCAGGCGCTCAATGACTGAGCCACCCAGGCGCCCCACTGGTTACTACTTTCACCCCATTTGCTTTATTGTTGTGGGTGCTTTCTTTGTATATATTAATATATGCATGCACGTAGTATTTTTTCTGAACCATTTAAGACTAAGGTTGACACACATCATGGCCTTTTACTCCTAAATACTGAAGTGTGGATTTCCTAAGAAGAAGAATACTCTTTTTTTTTTTTTAAGATTTTTTTTATTTATTTGAGAGAGAGAGCGAGAGAGAGAGCACAAGGGAGTGGGAGAAGCAGGCTTCTTGCGGAGCAGGGAGCCCGATATAGGGCTCCATTCCAGGACCCTGGGATCCTGGATCCCAAAGGCAGACGCTTAACCATCTGAGCCACCCAGGTGCCCTGAAGAATACTCTATTTCATAAGCACAGGGTAGTTTTAATATAAATAGGTTTAACATTGCTAAAATACTTTTGTCTAATTCATATTCCCATTTTGTTCATCGACCCAATAATATCTTAAAACATTTCCTACCTCCACTGCAGGGTCCCTTCTAGGGTTAGATACTGTATGAGTAGTCAGGTTTCTTTAGAGCACTTTCACAGTGCTTTCACACTTCTTTGCTTTTTTGACTTTGGCATTTTTAAAGAATAGAGTCTCACAAGGGACTAACTCTCCCGAGTCATAATGTGAATTAGCATTTATACAGTGTAATGCTTCTGTACAATATTGAAAACATTGTTCAAGTTCGTTGGCAACGTTAAAAATTTGAGAAATGGTGCTCAAGAATCCAGATTTCTAGCTTCTTTTGAGAAAAATCTGTCAGTGCTGACCGCTGTAACAGTGGTCTTTTTAACCTGATGGACTCGGGGTTCTCCATTTGATCCCATTTACAGTCCTTACCTGGCCCAGTGGATATTTGAGATTGTAACCCCTGACCTAGTCATATAAACTAATAAAATTTTTGTGTTTAACCCACTCCTGCTATTTTGATAACTGAACTCTGTTCCATGCCGTACTTACTAATGTTGTCCAAATTTGTGAAATGTTGTATGGGATTTTTGCTGACTTGTTATGGTCCCATCAGTGCTTCGAACCACTCTAGAATGGTTCCAGAACCTTTTCTCCCAACTGTAATTTAAAAAAAAAAAATGTGTTAGCCATAAATCACTTGAAGTTTTTCTCTTGTGATCATAGTTATTTTTTTCTTTCCAGTGCTTTGAGTTGGAACTCGATCACAAATTCGTGACGCAGTGGAGGAGAATCTGTTAGCCCCAGATTTTCCTCCTTCATTGCAATTTGCTCCTGAAAGGTGTTCTCTCTGGGAAAATGTACTAAAAATAAATGAAGTTTAAACAGCTCTTTCCTTTTTTCCTCACCTGCCTTCTACAGTAGAGAAGAAAGAGATCCCTTTCTTTGGGTCTTAGAGATACTTAGTAGGAACCCTCAGTGACTCTTGGCCAGAGTTCAGGCCTGTTTTATTTGTAAAGGAATTTTGTTCATTCCCTCCTTCATAGATTTGATTTGTGTCTCAGGGTTTGTGTTCTGCCAAACACCTTTTTCCAGTAAAGGAAGAAAACTACACCTAGTTAGCTTGCATTCTGACTTTTTCATGTCTATTTACATTGCCTTGGGGCCTCAGTGGCCAAATCTTAGTATTTTTCTCCCCAGTTCCCAAAATTTTGGTAAAAAACATTCTGTTGATTCCCTCTTAGGGAATCCCACTGATGCCCTCTTAGAGCTGGATCTGGCAATTCAAGTCTCCTTTGACGTGTGAAAATTTTTTTAATCACAATCTTTTATTTATTTTTTTAAAGATTTTATTTATCAGAGAGAGCACAAGCAGGGGATGCTGCAGAGGGAGAGGGAGAAGCAGCTTACACAGCTCAGCAGGGAGCTAGGAGCCCGATGCGGGACTCAGTCCCAGGACCCTGGGATCATAACCGGAGCTGAAGGCAGACACTTAACTGACTGAGCCACCCAGGCATCCCAATCACAATCTATATTTTAGACAAGTTCTCATTGTAGCCTGACTTGTAATATATGGCTTAGTCAGGGAGTCCTCCTCCTAAAATTTGCATTATCTATAAGACACCAATGCTCTAGGAGAGCTCTTGACATCTATAAGGTTGGGAAGTAATCTTTTTGTAACTGATCACTCTTCTCACCTCCTCTTTATACAAAGTGACTTAGTGTCACTGATCCTAACTTACTTCTCCCCCTGTTCTTGAAAGTTAAAATAAAATTTAGAATAGGGGCACCTGGGTAGCTCAGTAGTTAAGCATCTGCCTTCGGCTCGGGTCATGATCCTGGGGTCCTGGGATTGAGCCCCGCATTGGGCTCCCTGCTCGGCGGGGAACCTGCTTCTCCCTCTACCACTCCCCCTGCTTATGTTCCCTCTCTTGTTGTGTCTCTCTCTGTCAGATAAATAAATAAAATCTTTAAAAAATTTTTTTAAAATAATCCAGCAAATTTCAAATACTTGTATAGACTAACTCATTTAGGCCTTTTAAGCCTTCAGTTGTTCAGATCCTCCCAGAATGTGTGAGCTTGGCTTTTCCTGATTCTGTGGTCTTCGGTGGGTTATGATTGAGAGGAGGAAGGCTGGAGGTTTGACAAAAAATGCCAAACAGCTTGTTCTCAACTGGGCTTTAGTTTCCTTCTCTAGGAGGAGGCCTTTGGGCCAGTTGTTTTGCTCAGTTTTTGTACATTCTCATACTGGAAGATTCTGAGTCTTCCTGGTTGTCCAGAAGTCTATACACCTGCAGTTTAACTGGAAAACTCAAGCCTCAACACTGATTCTGTCAAGTTGACTGCCATTTTAGTCTCTTAAGAGTTGTAGAAGTGGATTCCTTAGCTGCCCTGATTGAGATTCTCAGTTCCTGTGGAGTTATGTAAATTATAACTAGTATTTGACTGTGGATCTTTCTCATCTGATCTTCTCTCCCTTACATCTTAGTTTGTGTTCTTTCAAGCTTCTTTCCTGTGAAACCACATCTCCAGTTTGACTATGTGAGCCCCTTCCAAGGGGTAAACTGTTCTGAACTTGTCCAAGGAAGAGCACAGCCTCATGTGCCAATCTCCCCGTGCCTGGAGACATCTTCCTTCGTGGCCATCCCCTTCTATTCCTTTGATTCCTTAGCAAACGTTTATTGTGCTAAGTTCTAGGGAAGGAGACTAAGGTGCCCAGAGTGTAGGTAGACGTAGGAGGTCTTTGTTTAAAAGAGAGAAAGAAGGATATTAGGCAATATTAATAGGACTTAGTGTCTTAGCAGTCTGCTTCCAGAAAGTACCCTACCTGTTTGTTAGACTGATAGGGTTCATTCTTAATTATTTATTTATTTAACAAAGGAGTATCTCCCTCCATTTGCTTGCCTTTGTGCTAAGCTGTGGTACAAAGATGAACAGAAGTGGCCCTGTCCAGAAGCAGTCACCTACGCCAAGGGAAATGGATATGAAACAAACAGTGCTGTGGAGCTGGAGTAATGTGCATGGAAGTGCTCTGCTGCCTGTTCATGCTTCCTAGAGTCTACTCACTCAGGAGTAGGGTAGCTCTTCCACTTTCTAGGAAGATTCTCAGGAATTGGTAGATAAGCTGCCTTCTTGCAAAAAGCTTCCTTTATTCCTTTGACCTGTTCTCCTATGAAGAATGTTGACTTGACTTTGTGATTCTCTGATAGTTGTCTTTAGAATAACTTATTTCCTGGTCACAGACCCAGAGACACAGTGGTGATTGTTTTGTCAAACCTCAGGTACTTGCCTGTGAGTTCAGTGTGGTGTTTTTTTTTTTTTTTCTGGATATTTCATGCCTGGTGGCTATATGTTCTTCCTTCTTTCCTAGAAATAAGCCTAAGTCCTGTATTTGGTATTTAAACCTGAAAAGGGCTGGGGTGGTAGGAGAGACCTATAAGATACGGCTCTTTAAAGCATATGGCTCTTTAAAGCCTTCTAAGATCTCAAGGAGCAAAGGAACACTTACTGTATCTAATAATTATTAAAAACTACATTGAACAGATTATTTGTTGGTGGTAGGTTTATCAGTGAAAAATAATTTTAGGAACTGTTTCATCAAATATATTCTAAAGATATTAAAATAACTAGTATAGTAGTTCTAGAATGAGTCTAATGAATATTAGCATCACCTTTGAATTTGTTAAGATTCAAATTTTTAGGCCTCTTATTAGACTTGCTGAATCAGAAACTGTGGCTGTGGTCCAGAAATTTCTTTTAGTAAGTCCTTTAGGTAGTTCTGATCATCTTAAATATGAGAAGCACTAGTCTAGTATATATTACAGCTTCAATCTGTTCAATGATAGTAGTAAATAAAAATAGAGCATGAGAGATTTAACAGCTTTTTTTTTCCCCCCAGAATAGTTTAAGAAATACTTCCTTAGTTTCCATTTTCATTTATTTTTGTCACCAGAGAAAACATAGGAATAGATATTACACCGTCCAGGAAGGAACACAGCCAAAATTTAAATGAAGCTAGAATAAACCTTTTTTAGCCATAATGCCTAAAATATACATGTTCTGCCTTTTGGAGAATCTGATTGAAATTGGTTTTGTCAGATTCTTCAAGCTTAAACAATCTTGAGGAGTTCTTCTAGAAAAAAATCATTTTGCTTTGCTTTTGATCACAGAGAAAAATGGAAACGGGAGCCCTCAGAAGATGAACAGGAACAAGGCACCAGTGCAGAGAGCGAACCAGAGCAAAAAAAAGTGAAAGCCAGAAGACCTGTCCCCAGAAGGTGCAGTGTTTGCTTGAACATCTCTGCTCTGGTGGCGCTTAATTTCTGTTAGGTGGAGAAGGATGATGCAGTGCTAGAACGACGGCCTTGATTGGTGGGATACGACATGTTGTGATTCTGGGCTTTGGAAGTCTGTGGTTTGCTTCTTGCCAGGCTATCCTGTTAGCAAGTGATTAGATGATGGGGACGCTTACGTTTGACTGTTTGTATCGTATGTCGCACAGAACAAAGCTTCTGTTTCTTAACTCCATGGCGTGCTAGTTAGGAGGGGTGGACATGTTTTCTGCTTTTAAAAAAGACTCCCTGTGTATTTGAATAGTGTACAGGCTCTTTTTGGGAGAAGTAATTCCTAAGTTTAAAACACTGGCTGTTGAAAGCATGCTTCACTGTTTATTACCTTGGTCTTAGAATCTAACATTAAGCAGAGAATCTGATTGTGCAGAGAAGGAAGCAAGCCGAGGTGGCAGGAAACTTTGGTTTCTGGTCAGATGTCTGGCAACAGAGGTACTGGTATTGGATAAGGGAAGGCAGGAGGTAGAGAGAGATTGCAGGGAAGTGTACCTCGCAGTGTTGCGTAGGATGGGGTTGACAAGCTACTGCCTTTTGGCCAGATCCCACTCACCAGCTATTTCAGTATGGCCTGCAAGCTAAGTATAGCTTTTATAGATAACATTTATAGTTTGATGATAGGGAACACTAAATTTGAACCTTAATTAAGTGAAATGTTATCCCTACAAGAAGAATTCTGTTCTTTTCATTAGATGTGTATCACAAAAAGTGTATTGAGTGATGATTATTTTGAGTGTTGTCCATAAAAATTGTGTGAAAATTTATTTTCCCTTGTTATGTCAGTGCCTGTGTAGTGGCCTCAATTTTGCTTCTTGTCTGGGAAAGCCAGAAATATTTATGCTCTGGCCATTTGCAGCAAAACATTTGCCTACCTCTGACTTAGGACATTGTACACCAGCCCCCACCCCAGCAGGGAAATTCATCATCTGAGTTTGGTCTCCTTTTGTCCAAGTTTAAGCTCACAGGACTGGGAAGCCACTTCAGCTTTCTCTTCCAGAGCTTACTCGTCATTTATTGAATCGCTGGTCACCTGTCTGTGTAGTGTTGGTTATGGAAAGTACAAGAGAAACAGACAGGATTGTGGGTTTCCATCTCCCTCTTTGTCCTTTTACCTTTATACCACGGGTAGCATATTTGGGGATTTCCTTCCGGGAGTGCCCAGGCTATGGCCCTTGGTCCTGGCTGTGCATGGGAGTCACGCATGGGGCTGTTTCCTCAGCCTGTTCCGCTGGTGTGTGGCAGGGTGCGTGCACTCTTAGGTTGTCTTCCAGGTATATTATGTAACAAAAATACATGTGTAGTGATTTCTTGTCCTTTGCTCCTTTTATATAGGTAGCATTTCATGTGTCCTGTTCTGCATTTTTTCTTTCATTCTCTTGGAAATCTTTTCCTATCAGTACACGGAAAAGTTCTGCTTTTTTTTGGGGGGGGGCTACCTACCTAGTATTCTGTTCAAGAACTGATTCCCAGTTGGTGAAGACTTAGCATTTTTCTAATTTTTTGTTACTGTAAACCATACTAGGGTAAATACCTTATTATGCCTGTATCTGTATGTATCTGAGCAATTCCCAGAAGTAAAATTGTTAAACATTTGTGAGTTGGGCGAGGTACCATCAGCAACATGTTGCATGTATATTTTTATGTCCGGTAACCTTGAAGAACAGTTGAGAACCATTGTTTGAGAATCCACTGTGTCTCCTGTATGTGATTGAGGATTCTCAGCATTAGAAACACTTTCATGTTGAAAATGCAGATTTTCTAGTCAGTTAGAATCTCAGCAATTGGGCCCCAGGAATATACATTTCTGACACTCCCCAGGTTAATTCTATGTGTGTACTGCTGCTCTGGGAAATTATAAAGATTTGAAATAAACACCAAGGGATAGAGTGAAAACTTTGCCATTTTTTTCTCTTCTCATTTTAGAACAGTGCCCAAAGCTCGTGTTAAAAAGCAGCCTAAGACTCAGCGTGGAAAGAGAAAAAGGCAGGATTCTTCTGATGACGATGATGAAGATGACGAAGCTCCTAAAAGGCAGACTCGTCGCAGAGCGGCTAAAAATGTTAGGTAGGTGATGCCCCAGAAGTCTTTCATTAGTCTGAGGGTGATAGTTTAGCTGGTTCAAACTTGGCCCTGATAAGTCCAGGATGTTGCATCTGATAGGCAAAAGTAATGACCCGGGTCTGGAGGCTGTGCTCAGAAATCTGATCAACGTTCTTGCAGAAGGAATGGTGTGGGCCAGTGGGAATATGTAAGGTATAGCAGTGGCTCATTTCAGGCCTTCGTTCCTGGAAAGAAAACTGCTTCAGGTTGATGTTCTATTGAGATGACTTAGTGATAACTGTCTTCATTTCATATCATCCTTTCTCAGGAAAGATGTTTGGATTGTATTCTCACTTCTAAATCAGTCCTTTAATCAGATTCTCCTGGGGATCAGATTACATATTCGGGCGTAATAGTTTTATTAAGTATACTAATAGGATATGAAGCACTAACAGGAAATAAAATAGAGGAAGGGACACATGCAAACATCAGTATTTTACTTTCTATGAGTTGAAGGGCATTTCATTTTCTTTTAGAGGATACACAGGTTTCTTCTGGTCTACTTAAAGATGGTGAAGCTAACTCCTGGAGATAGATACTAACCTATCCCTTTGTCCAGTTAATGATTCCACAGCTAGGACTAGGCGCTGAGTATGCCACCGTATAGTTTGGCACTTTTTCCTCCTGCAGCTGTTGTACATTCAGTAGTGTGTTTTTCTCTCATGTGACTCCCAAACCATTATTTGTCTATATATGGTGGGAGGTGACATTTTAGTATTTTATTACCAGGAAGTATGTTAGTGGAAGTTTTCAACAGTTTGAGAATACTTAAATTTCATATTCTTGTCATCAGGAGACAAACTATACGGTTCAAACATTTAGTCTTAGACATACTGCTTCCTTTTTGCTTAATGAAACAGTAACTGTTTTTTCATTTATTGTGCATTTTTTTTGTAGTTGTTCCCTTGTTTATATAGTCATGATCTCATATCACCAAACAAAAGCATAGCTGTGTCCTTGGAGTTGTGTGTGTCTTGCTTACACAAATCACTACAAGTTTAGTCTGTTTTTATTTTGAACTGTGAGTAAGCCTTCCTGCTGTTCTCTGTGGACAGGCATTATTACTTAGGAGAAAAAAGAACTTTGAGCCCACTTTAGCTGATGTTAAAACAACATGTTGGAGCCAAAAGTGTGTGGTTCTTTGATGATGGTCTGTTTGGTGGTGTTTAAGCCTCCTTTATCCAGCACTCTTGTTCATGCAGTTACAAGGAAGACGATGACTTTGAGACAGACTCCGATGACCTCATTGAAATGACTGGGGAAGGAGCCGACGAGCAGCAGGATAACAGTGAAACTATTGAGAAGGTCCTAGACTCGAGGCTGGGAAAGAAAGGAGGTGTGTGTCTACGGGAAGCAAATTTCT